CGATTCTCCTTTCTTCTATCTTTGTTTCCCTCCATTGTTCTTTCCCCTTGTTCTTTTGAGCTTCTCCAAATGGCGGGTACGCTGTCAAACCTTTGCTCCAAAATGTCCTTACAAGAAGAGGGTATTCCAGAGAAAGTGATCATTGATCAAGATTGGATCGAGGAACCGGAAGGGGCCTTGTCATGGTTTAGTGTTATTGGCAAGCTACTGTCAAAGAAACGACCAAACTTGGAAGCGATCAAGATGGTGCTGAGCAAGGCCTGGAGAGTGGAATCAGGCTTCCAAGTGAAGGAGGTTGGCGATCGTTTATTGTCTTCCAGTTTGAGGATGAACTGGAAAAAGATCGAGCAATGGTGAATCAGCCCTGGTCGTTTCAACAAAGCACTCCTGGCATTGAATGACTATGATGGGTATCAATCTCCAGAATCGGTCATTTTTTAGGTATGTCCTTTTTGGCTTCGAATTTATGGTCTTCCTATTAACATGATGAATGAAAAAATTGGTATTGCGGTTGGGGAGGCAGTCGGTCCCGTTCTTGAATTTGATGAGGATTGGGGTCGATATTTAAGGATTCGGATTCAGATGAATTTAAGTCAATCCCTCAAGGCTGGTACCATAGTTTATGCTCCTTCTGATGAACTGTATGTTGATTTTCGATATGAAAAATTGCTTGATTATTGCTGGATTTGTGGTTTACTGGATCATATTGATAATGATTGTCTGGTGGCAGTCTCTTTGAGGAAGAATCACCTGTCTGTGAAAAAGAAGTATACTTGCAGTCTCAAAGCTGAATTTCCTCCTCCTATCCCGGGGAAGGAAGCTGGTTCAAGTCAAAGAAGAGGGGGTTCGGGCACTTCTTTATCCCCTGTACTAAGGGGTAGCCGAGATGTGAATCTCCCAGGAGCGTCGGGAAGCCGATCGGTTCCTTCAAAGTCTATTCCCGGTGGTGGGGTGCCGGAGCGCAACCATGTTGACAACTTGGCCCTGTACAGTAATCGGACGGCGCGTGCTCTTCAGTTTGATGAACCCTCATGTGAGATAATTTCTCGCATGAATGGGAATCCAGTTAGACATCCACCGATTTTGAAGGGAAGTTATGGCAATAATGGGCAACGTGGAGGATGGGAAAACAGTTTTTCTGTTGAGCCCGTGAGAATGGGGATTTTAAGGAATTTGGGAGCGCATCTTCAGGAGCAGTTAATAGTCGAAGGTGGTGGCGAGAATCGTGGTGTTGAAGAGAACGATGTGGAGAGTTCAAACAACCCTGATGAGTTTATTCTACTTAACACTAATTTGGGCCGTAGGTCTGCTACTGGGCTTAATTTTATGGGGGCAAAATCTATTCCAGGGGTTGGGCTTGTTTCTACTGACCCAGGTGATATTGCTGGTGGATCGAGAGGCATGGGTATGCAAAATAATTTTCAGAGGGACTTTGTTTCTAAAGCTGCTTCTACTGGTCCTGATTACCGTACAAAATCTGTGGCTGCTGAGGAGATTTACGAATCCTATGATCCAGATTCGCCATTTGTGTTTGGGGCAGGAGTGTCGGGGGCTAGGAAAATTAGAAAGTGGAAGAAAACAGCGCGGTCAATTCCTTCTGGCTCTGCTGATTTGCTATGCCACGAGACGTTGGGAAGTGTAGGGCAGAAGAGGGCTACATGTTATACTGGTGTTTATCTCTATTCTATGGGAGGCAAGGTGAAAAGGTTCAGAGAAGCTGTTATGGAGGTGCCGGATGCTGAAGAGTCTCGGGATGATGATCTGACTCGGGCCATCATAGGAATGTTGATCCGAATGTTGATGTTGTAACGGCAGGGGTGGCAGGCGGCCATCTCTACCGGGCACCATGAGTTGTTTAATCTGGAACTGTCGAGGCCTCGAGGCGCCTCGATCAGTTCATTATTTAGCAAATTTAATTCAATGTAATAAGCCCCGTTTTGTTTTTCTGTCTGAAACTAAGCGTAGTAGTAATCAAATGGAATGGATTAGAGCCCAATTGGGTTATGATTATTGTTTTGTTGTTGATAGTAGAGGTAGATCAGGAGGTCTTGCTTTGTTATGGATGGCTAGTGATTGTATTTCCTTATTATCCTATTCTTTCTACCATATTGATGTTGCTATAGGTTCGGATATTGCATCTAGATGGCGATTTACTGGTTTTTATGGTAGACCGGAGACATCCAAGAGGTATGAATCATGAAATTTACTAAGAAATTTGCGTGACCAATTTTCTTTACCATGGTTATGTGCTGGGGACTTTAACGAATTAACATCAAATTTAGAAAAAGATGGGGGTAATTTGAGGCCTGCTAGTCAAATGAACCTTTTTAATGAAGTCATCCTTGATTGCAATTTTCGTGAGTTGCCTGTGCAAGGACCATTAATGACTTGGTCCCGTAAGCAAAATGGGGAGCTGGTGTTCGAGCGATTGGATCGTAGTATGGCTACTCCGGATTGGTGGGAGCGATTTGGATTTTCTGTGGAAAGACACCTTATTACTTCAAAATCCGATCACTTGCCGTTACTAGTCTTCATTTCAGATCGAAGCGTATTGACTAGGCATCGGAGGAGAACTTTCAAGTATGAACAAATGTGGGGCACACATGAGTCTTTTGATTCGGTGATCAAGCAAGCTTGGCCGAATGGAGATATGGGCATTGTGGATAAGATCAGTACATGTAGCAAGGAGTTGGATAATTGGAATAAGACACATTTTGGTAACTTGCAGCATAATATCAAGTTGAAAAAAAATGAGTTTGATAAGTTATACTCTTTGGGTCGTCGGGGTAATCAAAATGAATTTTCCAAGTGCAAATTGGAACTTGAAGACTTGTTGCATCAGGAAGAATTACTTTGGAGGCAAAGATCGAAAATTCATTGGTTGAAAGATGGGGATAAGAATACTGAATTTTTTCATGCAGTAGCTTCATCTCGCAAGAACAAGAAGGCCATTGATAGTATAGAGGATAGCAGTGGTGCTGTTTGTGAGGATCCGATTGGAATTGCAAACATCTTTACTGAGTATTTCAAAGAAATCTTCACTTCCTCTAACCCAAGTCATACCGATATTCAAGCTGTTTTGAATCACTTGGAGGGTCGGATTGATGATGATATGAGATTGCATTTAGAGGCAGAGTATACAGCTAAAGAAGTTAAGCAAGCTGTGTTCCAAATGTCGGGCTCGAAAGCTCTAGGCCCGGATGGAATGTCTCTTGCTTTCTTCCAAAGGTGTTGGCAGGTAGTGGGTACTGATGTTACTAATTTTGTGCTGGATTTTCTAAATAAAGGGTCTTCTTTGCAGGATGTTAATAAGACTAATATCGTTCTTATTCCTAAAGGGGACTCACCTTCTTGCAAATAAATTGAAGGACATACTGTCGGAGTTAATTGGAGAAAGTTAGAGTGCTTTTGTGCCCAAGCGAATGATCTATGATAATGCGATGATAGCTTTCGAAACGGTTCATTTTATGCGCAATAAGAGGAAAGGGCGAAAGACTCATATGGCCTTGAAACTGGATCTTAGTAAGGCCTATGACCGTGTAGAATGGGCATTTTTACGTGAAACTATGATTGTTATGGGTTTCCCTGCCTAATGGATTTCTTCAGTTATGGAGTGTGTTGAATTTGTGTCTTATTCAGTTTTGGTAAATGATAATCAGGGAGAGATCTTTTATCCGACGAGGGGAATAAGGCAAGGTGATCCTTTGTCACCCTACTTGTTTCTCTTATGTATGGAAGGGTTATCATCTTTAATTTCAGCTGCAAGTAGGTCAGGATCGATCCATGGGATTTCTATCTCTAGGTCTGTACCAAGAGTTTCCCATTTGTTCTTCTCAGATGACAACATTTTATTCTTGCAAGCTTCAAAGACTGAGTGTGATGCAGTGATTTCGTTGCTTAATTTATTTGAGAAGGCATCGGGTCAAAAAATAAATATTGACAAATCCTCAATCCTTTTTAGTGCAAACACACCGGCAAGTCTTCAATCTGAGATTATGAGCTATCTTGGAATCCAAAAAGTGCTGGACAGGGACAAATACTTAGGTCTTCCTATCATGGTGGGACGTTCTAAAACGAGAGAATTCCAATTTCTTAAAGATCGATTGAAGAAAAGGATTACTAGCTGGAATTCGAGATTGTTTTCGAGAGCAGGTAAGGCTGTAATGATCCAATCAGTTGCTCAAGCGATCCCTGTCTATCTTATGAGTGTTTTTCAATTCCCCAAATCATTCGTCCAAGAGCTGAATTCCTTAATTGCTGGCTACTGGTGGGGTGATACTATGGCAAAAAAGAAAATTCACTGGAAAAATTGGGAAGCAATGTGTAGTTCTAAACTTGAAGGGGGTTTGGGGTTCCGAGATTTTGAAGCTTTCAATCTGAGTTTATTAGCTAAACAAGGTTGGAGGTTGATTCAGAATCCTGATACTTTGTGTGCCCGGGTGCTTCGAGCTAAGTACTTCCTAGAGGGGATTTTCTACATGCTAAAATTGGACCAAATCTGTCATTCTTGTGGAGAAGTTTGTTATCAGGTCGCAAGGTCATTATAGTTGGGTCCAGGTTTCGAGTGGGAGAGGGGAACTTGGACATTTGGAAAGATAGATGGGTTGCTAATCCACCGTCTTTTCGTCCTACTCCTCGGGATGAAAATATTAAGCCAGAACTGAAGGTGCGAGATTTAATTGATGTTGATAATCGAATGTGGAGAATTGAGACTGTTCTAGACCTATTTGAGGAAGAGGATGCCTATCGTATATTGGCTTTGCTGATTCCTAGGCACCCAACTCGTGATCTATTAATATGGAATGGCACTTGTTTGGGTGAATTCTTGGTGAAATCAGCTTATTATGTAGCCAGGGAGGTGCTTCAAAGATCAAATTTACTACAAGGACCTGCGCATCAAACTTGGAAATTAGTGTGGTCATCACAGGTTCTACCAAAGATCCATTTTTTTGGTTGGCGTTTCATATGGAATATTCTACCTACTAAGTGTAATCTCCTTTCTAGAGGTTTGAATGTGCCACAAAACTGTGAGGTTTGCGGAGACCAGGTAGAGTCAGTATTCCATGTCTTTTTTTATTGCAAGTTTAGTGAGTTGGTTTGGGATCAGATTGGTCCTTGGGTGCAGCCGAGTCTCGACCAATGGGACTCTGATAGAAATTTCTGGGATTTTTTCATCGAGAAAGCGGCTTCAATTGGACAAATCGACAGAGTGCTGGTCACTTTGTGGCTTATTTGGAACAATAGAAACAAGGCGCTCTATGAGTTGGTCTCGTTGTCACCATCAGCACTGCATTTTTCGGTGTCTTATATTTTGGAGCAATTGCGTTCGAATAATAGGAGGAGATACCAGATTTCGTTTCTTCCAAATCAGCAACTTAATTGGATTCCACCTCCTTTTGGGGTTTTTAAGATTAATACAAATGCGGCCTTTTGCAGCGGAACAGGTGAAGCGGGGTTGGGAGTAGTCATTCGAGATAGTGAGGAACGGATCATCTTAACGGTATCTCGTTGTCTCAATTTTATAGCTGACTCCCTGCATGCTGGAATACATGCTATTCTCTTTAGATTTGAATTGGCAATTGAGCATGGTATTGACCTCGGCATATTTGAAAGCGATTCGTTGTTGGCAGTTAATCTGATTAATAAGACTGGTCCTGTCTTTTGGGAAGGAGGCCTTCTTATTGATGAAATTAGGGACTTAGCTACCTTATTTAATGCATGTAATTTGCAATTTGTTCATAGGGAAGCTAATACTTTGGCACATGATCTTGCTAATTTACGGCAGGATGTTGTATGGTGCGGGATAATACCTCCTGGCGTTTTGTAACTCCTAATTTCTGTTTAATGAAATCGATCAATTCATCAGAAAAATAATAATAATTTAATTGGGTTAGTAAAATTTAGTTTAAGGTGAAGTAGGCCTATTATGGGTTTGGGCCTTAGTTTTTATTCTTCTTCTTTTAAGGGTTTATTTTCCAACTTTTCTTAAAATTCAAAAACTTGAACAGCTAATTTTTTCCTAAAAAAAAAAAGTCGTTGCCCGCCAGCGCCAATAGCAATTTAGCGCTCTTGGCTTTATAAGTTAGGTTGGCATAATTGTTAAGTCAGAAACTCAGAAAGTTAGTGATCGATTTGTGAAAAAACTAAACACAGCAATGCCTTTTCAAGAAATAGTGCAATTGCAGAGCGTTAGATTGTTCTTCTGTTTGTCGATCCCCCAACCGGACGGCGGCGACGGACAGTTCCTGTTTTTGATGAAATATCGAACCCTTGGTTCTCCAACGGAGTGGAATAGTAAAGAATTCAGCCGCCCAATTTCCCACAATGTTCCATTCGATCTTGAATCCTTATCTTCCAAGAAGGATATAGAGGAACTGGTCTATGGCGAACTCTAGGATCATCTAGAGCAGTTTTATGAAGAGGGGAATGTTAGGGCTTTGGGTAAAAGCATATCAGAATTCCTTTTCAAGAACTACAGTTTGGGTTTGGGTTTGGGTTTGGGTATGGGTATTTCAAATCCCAACTCACCCAAACCTGTGGTTGTTGTTGAATTCAACCAACCATAAGTTATAGACCGGTCTGGAGAGGGCATGGATGAAGTTGCAATGTTCGATCGATGCGATTATGATGAAGCCGGTGATGAAGAATTCATCGAGTTCCGTTTGAGATATCTTCTAGGTGTTCCAGTTGGGTCTGAACCCTTGGGGTTAACCCAAGTCCCTGCGCTGGATTCGTTCCAACAATTTGAATCGGCGGCGGCGGGTGATCCTGATCACGGCACATGTGCCATCTGCTTGCAAGGGTTCTCATTCTCTGGAAATTCGGGATTCAAGTTGCACTGCTCCCATGTTTTTCATGGAGACTGCGTTGCCCAGTGGCTATGGAGGAAACGATCTTGCCCCCTGTGTCGATTCCATCTTTCTTAGCCAATTAGGGTTTTTTTTTTTTGAAAATTAGGGTTTTTCCTTGAGTAATTGTTGAGAACAATTGATTTTGTTATGGGTCAGTCTCATACTTGTAGACTTATTTGAATGTAATTCCTGTATATGGTAATTTGATAAATTTACAATTCTTTTCTTCACCCAAACAAGAAGTTTTACTTTCTGCTATGCAATTCCTGCTGCAACCAAGGGTTTTTTCCTTCTTTTTTTCTTTTTCCAAATTTAAATTCCAAACTGTCTAATGGCCTTGTAAATCATCCAACTCTTAAGAAGTTGCTAGTAATTTGTCAAGGATTTCAGGCTGCTGAATATCCCTTGCATTCAAAACTCCCTTTAATAGGATTAGGAAATGACTTTTGGAACTGAAGTTGTTGTTCAGATGAAAAATAGAATGCAAAATAACTTACAAGATGAATTCATAAAAATCCTCTTCTTATAGATAATTGCCACCGGCTGAGTTTGCTTGTCCCCCTCATACATGATTTTGTTCTGGCAAAGCTTGATACATGAAATCATTCTATGTAAAAATGAAAATTCATGTTAAATGGTACAATAATTGCCAACAGTGAGTTACTACTGAATCTCCTTTTAAGGTTTCAGCTTTAATTAATACAGTCTTGGAATATCAGCAAATAATGCAGATTAGGATGGAGAAGTTGAAGATAAAAACAAAGAGAAACAGAAGATAACATATAAAATGCAAAGTTCTAAACCCAATGATCAACTTAAGTAGAGAATTGACATTGATGATTGGATTCGGCATTCAAATTGGAATCACAATTGTGACTCCAAGATTGATCAGGATAGAAGATGACACAAGGAAAATTTCTATCCAAGGAAGGCGAATTGCTACTATTAATGAATTGCTGCCAGGTTCAAGTGAATGCTATGCAACCATGAAGGGCTTCAGTATCAAAGAAGTTGTGTTTTCATAAACATTATAAATTAATTTAAATCCAAATTATTTTTACAATTCAATTTTACACTTGTTCAAAGACTGCAACTGGCCTTCACTTCTCTTCTTTGGTCTTTAATTAATTGCCATAAAATGATCCTTTGCACCAGTTTTTCTTAGCAGAACCTCGCATTCATCCTTCTTAAACAAATGTCTCATTTCTTCTATTCTGGATCTGTTCGCGCCAAAAAATCTCTTTGGAGATCTTGGTGAAAGGGTACCGAGCGTGCCAATCAATTTTGACTGGAAATTGATAAAAGGAAGCGAGGAAAATAAAAGTTCATTTTTGTTGTAAAAATGAGATAAAGAGTACAGTGAAAATTAAATGATTGCTTTGAGTGTAGCAACATAAAATAAATCAAACGAGCTGTAGATCCTGAATCAAAGTCACACAAACGTGTTTAAATCATTGATTCCAAACTCAGAAAAAAAAAAAAAAAAAAAAAAGGAAATGTTGTGAAAAAGGTTATTTTCTTGATTGAAACGAGAGAGATGACATGGAGTCGTTGATTGATTGCAACAAACATGTAAATACAAGAAGAAAACTTGTAAAAACAAGGTTGACAAAATTAATAAAAATAAAAATATCAAGTGAGAACTTGATTCACAAGAGAGATTGAAAGCGCAGGGCTTGAAAAAGATTGGAAGCACGGAGCTTGGTTGTAGTTTTCTCTGAGAAGAGTTGTTTTTGACCTGGAGTCTGAGTTTTGTTGTTGGAGATGGTGAATGGCTGCCTCTTTATATAGGGGATGGTTGGCTAGGGTTAAAATGATCTAACGATCAAGATTGGTTCCCTACTGATTCATCATGATCTTCTGAATTCAAATTCTGATTCAAATCCCTAAAATCAGGGAAATCCTAACCAACTCAATCAGCCACTAATTCAGCGCGTTTTTTACCCTTTAAATGTGATAATTATCCCATTTGATTGCTGAATTTCGAAATTAAGAAGGTTCCAAAGCTTGGTGCAGCGAAAAAGGGTGAAAAACCAGGTGCAACGAAGCAGAATAGTGCTGAAATCACTTCCGAATGCTCCGAACTTTGATTCTTCATCACTTAAACATTAAATCATACTCAATATAATGCCACTAAGCTCATATTTAAGTATCATCAAAATCGGATCAAGGAAATGGCTTAAACCGAGCTTAATCAGCCATAATGTCCTTAATTGAAAACCGAGTAAAAGTTATGAAAGGTGGCAGATATGGCTTGATTCTTCCATATAGCTTATATAACTCTTGTAATTCAAGTTTCAAAGCTAATGGTGAAATCGCTATGCTTAATTGGTCCGGGGATTGAAATCTGTCCTTAATTGCAAAAAATGCAAGTTTTCCTTCGAGCTCGGAATGAGCTGAAATTTGTACAGAGTGTTCATCATGATATTTTGAACAACTTTAATAAAGGATATCACCCCAAATTCGTCCATCTTCATGGGGCATGGGCCCCATGATATTTCAAACCCCTAATTCCCTTGTCCTTAATTGAATAACTATGAAAAGTTTAACCCGGGAAGGCTTGAATCCAATTTTAGAGGCATGGGCCAGCCTGACCCAATTTGAATAGTACATGGGGCAGCCCAAATATGTTTTCAATATAATTTACTTAATTTCCATAATTTAATTAATTAAATTATAAGAAATTAAGGTTTTTAAATCAAAAATCAATCTTTTTCCTAATTGATTTTGGCCTAGGGTGGATTAAATCCAACCATCCATAGGACTTTTGGGAGTAAATCTCAGCCCTTGATCTTGTACCAACATGTACATTTACCATTTTGCCCAAAATGTAAATTATGGTATAAACAGGATCCAAAGAAAATCATCCACGAATGATCGATTCTTGATTTCCAGATTGGATTGCCATGAGTCTGCAAATTGGATCATGAGATGTGATGCGTACATCACAGGGAAGGTAGCAGAATTCTGTTGACACTGGTTTCAAATGAGGCAAATACATTGTTAATATGCAGTCAATCAAAGGGATATGCTAATGGGATATGGCGGCTGATCTCATGTTATTCGAGAAGAAGAGGAAGGCTTCAATCTTCTAAGCAGCAGCTTTGCATCAGATCCAAAGAGGCAAAATTTCCAACAGCACGCGTGAAGATATCAACAAGGAATTGAAGGAAGCTCGAGAGAAGTTACTCAAGATTGATGGAGCCATAATCGAACTTTTCAAAGCCATGAGTGACACTCTCAACATCACCGTGGAACTTTTGAAGGAGCACACTCAACGTTCCTTCACCAATGGAGAATAGTCCACGAGGATGTCTAGCCAAAGACATTAAATGAAGGCGCTAATTGGGAGGCAACCCAATCCACTAACATCTATCCTTTTTCTTTTGAATTTTCTTTTTCTTAGTTATAGGTCATTTTGCATTTCCAATTCAAGGGAATCGATCAAGCAATGGAGACAAGGAAAGGAAGCACACATGAAGAGCATTGGAGCTTACACTTCGCAAAAATAAAGAAGCTTTCTTGAACTCTAATCTCATTTAATTTCCTATGTTTGATTGATGATTGCTGCATATCAATTAATTTTCTTGAATTGAATGTTTTTCCATGCATATTATCATTGTATAATTGTCTCATGCATCTCATACATATAGACTCTTAAGTGATAAGGACATAAGGTCAATCTTTTAATGGTCATCAAGTGGAATTTTTGGTGAAAATCAAGTGTTTTTGGATTGAAAAATTTGGAATATGGTAAAATCTTTGAATGGTAATTGAGTTGAAGTTGGAATTGAGTTTGGTAGCAAAAGGAAGCAAAAGGAAGCAAAAGGAAGCCGAGCCTGATCCCAACTGGGCCCCATGCCGCAAGCCTGATCACCCAGCTGGACAGCCCTAGCGCCCAGCCGCTAGGCCAGCGCTGGAGGCCGACGCTGGCTGTGCGCCCAGGCGCTTTGCCTGTGCACCCAGCCGGTTGGCT